CAACTCCTAATACTCTGTGATTCTGTGATCATGTAGTGACAGATAAATTTATAGGTAAGTTAGGAGTTCTCATTTTGAGTTTGAATACCGCCTACATTAGTATAATTGTAAGCATTTAATTCTAAAGTCTTTACAATTTATAATGTGGTTGAAAATTGTGTTACGCAAAATAAAAGTTGGAGACTCAACAGAAATAGCAGTTGTCTTTCAAATGCTCTTTTAATTGTTGTCTGTAGAAAAACTCAATGAGAAGTGTTTCAGATTTCTCAGTGAGTTGATGCATCTGCAGACCTAAAGCACGTAAAAAGGAGTTACTGAGGGTGTCCACTGCCTTGATTTGCTTCTACACAGTGGATGCTGCTGTTCCCGCCTTGTAGAAACACGAGATATTTTATTAGCTTAACAAAAACATGACATTTTTAGTGATTTAATTTCTCAGTGTTATAGACTGTTCATAAAATCATTAGAACTGCGTTGTGTTTGGAAATCTAGGACTCCGTACATAAATCTTTGGTATCTGCAGTGTCTGCGATTTCTGATTTTGGTGGAGAGTGAAACGTACTTAACTGCTTCAGATATTACAGATTTTAGTGAAATACACCTTTAGGACCAGATATGTGTCTAAAAGGCTTGTCTGTTACTAATTTTGTTCTTTAACATCTTTGCCCTGTGTGGCTTTTTTCTGATTAATTAAGCAGCTCAGGGTTTTTCAAAGTGTGTGCTTTTAATTGGCTCAGCTAAATTAGTGCAACATGGATATTCTTATTTAATAATGGCCTATAGCTTGTGTCTGTTAATAAACTCATTTAAGGGAACAAGTAATGCATCGAAAGCCCAGAGTATTTTCATTTTTTTAGGGTTCTTTCTAACTGTAGGACAGACGGCTCAGACCATGGAAAGCAAACCCTGTGGTCCTAAGGGGTGAAATATGTAGATGCCTCTGAGAATCTATGGCTTAGCCTGAGTTACCGGAGTCTTTTAAAAGGCAGAAAACTTCGGGGGGATTGCTTGACTTGTACTTCTTTTTCCACCTCTCCCCCACTGCTCAGGTGCTAACGGCAGCAGCCTGTGTTATGGATGACAATTCTCGTGTAGAGTTGCTGTGTTTGCTCCTTTTTCTGGTGGTTTGTATTGCTACGTAGGAGAACACCTTTGGGCTTTCTTCTGCGTAGGAGTTTGAAAATTGGTATTTGTTTTGCTGAGTTAATTACGCAGCTTTATGCAATAACAGGGTTAGTCCTTACACAAACAAACACTACATTTCTAATGTCTTACATTGTGGGTGCTGTTGTATTTAATTGCACTTTCGTACACTAAATCCACTGTAGTGTTTTCTCACAAAGCTAGATGAGCCCAGAGCCCTTTATGTGGTATGGTTTTAGGTTTTTCTAATGCTAATAAATTCACGGTAAAGGATTATGATATTAAATTTTAAAACACAGACACTGTTAAGAGGTCTGTATTTTCTCAAGTGCAGATAATATTTTACAGCTTTTTGAGCAGAGTAGCTTTTCGTATTACTGCAGTCCTCTTAGTATTCATACAGCACTAAACATTTTATTGTTTTATTTGGGAATGGCTTCTCCTGGACAAAACACAGTTGGTTCCATAGGTGAGATGGCAAATAAATGGCGTGTTTCTTTCTGCACAGAGACCAGAGCTGCTATGACATAATTCCACTGTACAATGCGATGAAGAAGAAGGTGCTGTCAGACTCTGATGAGGTAAGTGCTTGTGTCCTGGGCACTGGCATTGATGGGCTGCAGAAATGGGACCGCTGTCTCTGCCCTGTTTTCATTCACTGTAAGGGAGTTCAGTCAGTTAAATGTTTCTTATTGTCAGCTGGGAAGCTGGGTAAAAAAAAATAATCCAGTTTCCTCTTCCCTTTTAGTGCACAGAGCTTTAAGGGTTTATTGGAGAATTTAGGTGCTGCTTCAGACTTCTGAGAGGTTCTCAAAACTGATGGTTTTGAGAGGGACAGGGATGGGATGGAACTGTAAAGACTCAGATTATTTAAGTGAAGTACAGAAGAACTCACCTACTCATGTGTGTTTATATTTTTTTAACCTTTTTATGCGACTCATTATCTTGCTCAAAGGAAGAAGAGAAAGACACAAATGTGCCAGGAACTTCCACTAGAAAAAGAAAGGTAATTTTAAAAATTGCTTGTAGTGCTATAAATAATTAGAAGTGCATTTGTAAACAAAGGAATGTAAAAATGAAAGCGATTTTGTCATCGTGTAATCTCAGCTTTTGGAAGGTTTTGAACTTACAGTGACTGAGGTGTTGTTCTGCTGAGCTGTTCAATGTAAAAGCATTTCTGTCTGTGCTGCTGTGTGTTACGAACTCATTAATTAGAGTTTATATCCTGCAGGGTACCTTTTTCATTAGATTTTTTAAAACCAGCTAGTTGGTTTATTACATACCAGTCACCATTGCCATTTCAGGATCATCAGCCGAAGCGGCGGCTGCGTAACAGAGCTCAGTCGTACGACATTCAGTCGTGGAAGAAGCAGTGCCAGGAGCTGCTGAATCTCATTTTTCAGTGCGAAGACTCTGAACCATTTCGACAACCAGTGGATCTCCTTGAATATCCAGTGAGTACTTCTGAACAAGGAGGAGGATGGTTATAATGCAGTTGTTAGGTGGTTCGTTCTTGGTTTTGTTTTGGTTTTTTTTCAAATGTGACCATTTTTCCAACTCTTTCAGTTGAAACTTCAGGCAGCTCTGTTGACAATGCTTGCTTGTCTGATGATTAAGTTCTTTGTCTTTTAAAAGTAATCTGAAAAGAAAAGAGCGCAGAAGTCCATTACTTTTTATCCTTCTGAAATGAAACCAAAAATGATCCATTACAGCATTTAGTGCATGCAACTGCCAAACACGTGCTCTTCGTATATGGCCATTTTTCACCCAGAAGAGATGCATCTTAATTGCAAAAGCTGCAGTTTATGTAACAACATAGGCATCCCTGTGTATCAGACATTTTCCAACTAAAGTAATTTCTGTATCACAGTCGTCTGGGCTTCATGCAGGAAAAGAAGCCACTGAAGACCTGCAGTGAAACATGAGCTGATGTAACAGTGACTTTCCCAAATTTTGCCTTCTGCCCAGAGTTCAGAATAGCCATGAGCAGCTGTTTGTAACTACAGAGTATTTTAACACAAAAGCCTTGCTGCCTTGGATCTCTTTAGCCTTTTAAGCTAGTTTTACTTTTAAATAACAAAGGCTTTGCATGCTTTCCTTCTAACATATATTTACGTTTTTCTTTAAAATATCACTCTAAGGTGATTAACCTCGGTAAATGAATTGTCCCAATTAGAGAAAAGAGATGTTTCTGTTTCAGAAGTCGCTAGTAGGTCTGTCTTGATACTTCTGCAGCTCTTGGGCACCGTGATTTGTGAAGTAACCTAAACTTTATGAGGTGGCCAAGTACAAGTGGCCCTTTGTGTTTGAGATACTCAAATGAGCTGATAGAGAGCGCACTTTACTGAGCTTGGCATGAAACGCTCTGCTCCCTGGTGTCACAAAGCTGTTCCATGTTCAGAGGCACTCACACAGGGCCTGCTTACTCTGTTGGATGACTTTTTGGTTAATTTTGGTATTTAAGCTTTTTGTCATATGGGTATTTCTTCTGTTTCTTCCACAGCCTAGGAAAAAAGTTCTGTCATTGGCTTCAACAGGGTCCTATTTAAGCTTGTGGAGTTTTCGTTACTTTAATATTACTTTCCTAAATTGTCAGCTCTCCATGTGGGAAACTGCTCAGGTTTCAGCAGGGATGTGTTAAGCCTCTGATCAGGTTCAAAGAGTCAAACTTTGTATTTTAAAGCTAATATGTGAAAACAGTATTAAGCTTAGTACCAAGCTTGAGCTGTTAAACCAGAGAGCTTGTAGTCACACTTTGATATCATGGTTGCCTTCATGAGAGCGTGTCAGTAATATCACCCTTAGGACACCAAATTTTGAGCTCTGTATTTTAGTAAGCCTGCTTACAAAATGAATTAAATCTTGTGTCAGTTAACTTCTAACCTCAGTCCTGTCGAGTGTGTCTGTGAGGAGTTACCTTGTGTATGAGTAGGAAGGAGCAAAATGTCTTCAGCAGCCTTCCATACCTATTTAAAGAGGACACTTGGTTTGAACAGGTTTATCAGATCCATCCTAATGAAAATGATACATTAAAACTTGAAAATAAATTGTAATACATTGCTGTGCTATTTCTTTGACAGGATTATAGAGATATTATTGACACTCCTATGGATTTTGCTACTGTTAGAGAAACACTGGAAGCTGGAAACTATGAGTCACCGATGGAGTTATGTAAAGATGTGAGACTTATTTTCAGCAATTCCAAGGCCTATACACCAAGTAAAAGATCAAGGGTAAGGCTTAAATGTCGTTTTTTTTCTTAGGTGAGGGTGTTTGCAAGAATACTTACACATAAACAAAAAAAAATACTTAAACATAGCGACAGTGTAATTGATTACTTCAAGAACAAGTTTAATTATGATCTTCAAACATGAACACTCTGAGAAAGTAGTATCACTTTCTATTAAAGGAAAGGAATCTATGCTGTTTAAATGCCTAAAGTTCTGATGAAGTAAATATTGGAAAGCAGATCTAACAGGAGAGATACATTGTAGGAAAGATCTGTACAAATGTGATTGTGGGTACAGTAGTGGAATTTAACTGATATTTTGGGGAAGAAACTTGATTTTTAAAACACACACAGAGTCCCAAACTCCTCTGCTTTGGAGCTTGCCCATACTGAAATACCCAGGTACAGAGTGGAGGATGATGACTTTATATGCTGTTCCACCGGGATGCTGGGAGATGGGGATGAAGCACGTAGGATTTCTGGGAAACAGAACTGTGTGTGCAAAGCGTGAGCCTGCAGAGCCACTCGTAATGAGCTGACGCTGAATGCCCTGCCAGTGGGAGAGTTAATGTCCTGTTTTCAAATGGACTCGTAGGTGCAGTATCTGTTAGCAGGGAAAGTTAAAATGTATACTTCACATGTTCAAGGCTTTAGAAGAAGAAAAGCTACACCAACATGCTTTAGGTGTTAGACTAGAATTATTAATAACTTCTATGTTTGGCTGTTCGAAATAGCGAATTAATGATCAGTAGTACATGATCCCGCTCACTGTTTGGGCTGCCTAAGGACCAGTCTCTTGTCTTTTGGTTGCATCAAAGGGCAGGGGGTTTTGGGCATTCTTTTGTGGTTTTTCTGTCTCTTCTTGATCTTCTCAAGCCAAAGTAGGAGAATGCTTGACATTACCTTAGCTCCAGTGTGGTTTCACAGATTCTCCTGACATTTTCACATCTGTTCGTGTTTCTTCCAAACAGACTGGTATAGCAGTAAACTTGTAGGTCTTTTTATTTTACTCAGAAGTAGAAGCTGAGGTTCTGATGTCAAGACTTTGAATATTCCAGAACCTGTGGACTTTTCAGTGCATGCCACGTGTAGTTGTTGAATGGTGATGTTTTCACTCTGACTTGTCATTCAGTGATGGTTTTCTTACATCACTGGTGCTTACCTGAGTAAACCTAAACCCGTCAACTTTTGTTTTTCCTTGGCATATTAGACATACATTTTTATATCATTTTTTACATATTTTCATATGGATATCCTCTCCAGTAACGCATTCCAAATCTGTCATAATTACTGTTTATTCTGGCACAGTTTGTGTCATTAAGTAGGTAACTGTTACGATACCATTTTTGTGTTTCATATTCTAAGAAGGTGCTGTGTCCCCTCTTAAAGTATCTTTGGGCAGTTCGCTTCTGGGTTTTTTGTTTCCAAAATCATTACCAACCGTGCTCAAATGATTAGTTGTGGTCTAAACTACTGAGTTTGAAGGGTTTCTCTCTAAATCATCCAAGGCTAGAAGAAAAATAAAAAGAAAAATGTGCACCTACATAATTCAGATACATTTATTGTGCCGGTTGCAGCCAACTCACTGGTAGTAGCAATTCATCCATAAGAGACTGATGTTCAAATATATAAGGATGCAGCTTAATACAGAAGAAAATGTGATTTCTTGACCCTAGATATGATTCAGTAAAATTCTGTTGCGGATCTGTCTTGGTGGTTTCTGCTGAAGCTGAAAGGGATGCACTGTGGAAAGGCAGTTGAACAGGGACAGTTAAAAAGGTGTTTACAACCTTCAGTTGTAATACACCTCTCAAATCTGTGAAAATGCTTGAAGCAAACCTACAAATGGATTAGTGTACATTTGTTGAGACAGACTGTAAAATTCCTTAACACATTTTCATATTAAACAGTTTACTTTTCTCGCTATTTTTCAATGATAAATAAGTAAAACGATGCTCTGGGAAATCACAAACCTGGTTGTTGACTGGCTTTCCTTTTTCAGATCTACAGCATGAGTTTGCGCCTTTCTGCTTTCTTTGAAGAGCACATAAGTTCTATTTTGTCGGATTATAAATCTGCCCTGCGCTTTCATAAAAGGAATACAATAAAGAAACGAAGGAAAAAAAGAAGTAGAAGCAGCTCTGTTTCCAGCAGTGTTGCATCCAGGTACATTAATTCCTGTACATTATTCATGAAATGCTGCATAAGTTTGACATACCTAAACTGTAGAAGTGGGTTTTTTCCTCTTAATACTTCCTTTACTATTCTCTGTATTGCAGAATGATAGCTTTGACATGCACGTCCCTGTTATGATGTGGAAGGACTTTAAACTTTATTTAGAGCTATCCTAGTGTAAGTGCTTAACATTCAGATAACTGCTAAACAGCTACAGTAAAACAGCATCGCTAGGATAGTGCTGGCATCGTGCTTTATTGTACAACTATAGCATCTACTGTAAAGATTCGCTTTTCAGAGGCTCCCAACTACATGAATTTCCACAGTAAATGTCATGTTATTACCACACTTCATAGAGAGATGGTTCTTTTACTCCCATGATATCAGACACCAGCATTTAATTTTATTTATTCCTGTACAGTAAAAAAAAAAAAAAGCAGTCACCCAGGATCCAAATTGTTGCTCCTTTTTCAGCCCTGAAAGGAAGAGGAGATTGATAAAACCTCCGCTGAAGGCAGAAACGTCTGCCACCTCTTCATCCTCTGCCCCGGCACGGTCAGCAGCGCTGAGACACGCGCTGCCCCAGATGAACGGGAAAGCGGCTGAAACCTCTTCCCTCGTGCGCACCAGGAGCAACAGGGGGGTAACAGACGTGGCTGTGACAGAGCAGCCGTCTACTTCGTCAGGAGCAAAGCCTTTAACGATAAAGCCTTTAATTACAAAGCCTAATACTACTGCAGGGACAGCAAAGTCAGGCAAGTTGGTTTATTTATTTTTTATTTATTTTTAAAAGCTGTGAATATATTTAAACATAAAACTGCATTTTTGGAAATCTAATGTATTTGTCTCAGTTAAGACTGGTTCTGTTTTCAAGCTGCTGGGCCTTTGAGGTTTGTCAGCCTAACTTGTTCAGTTTTGCTCTGTTATTTTATTCAGGAAGCTTTCTTACTTCTAGATCACTGATTCAAATTGTTTGTTTGTAGTAGACCATGACTACTTTTTTATCCAGATAAGAGTGAATGTGGCATAAACTACTTAACGTGAATAATCTTGTTTTTCGTTTTTGTCCTTCTAGTACTGGAGAACTCAACCAAACATTCCAAGAACCAGAATACTGTATCGATCCCTAGCCAGTCTGATTACAGTCACAACACCAGGAATAACTCCACCAGAGAAAATCCTGAGAAAGAGAAGCAAATCAAGCGCAAAGTAAAATCTTCCACTGTTAATCAACAAGGTACGGAGTTTCCTTGGAACTTCCCCCTCCAGTTATTGCTGCAGTGGCTGTGGTGTTGTATCTTAGTCATGGTAATTTGGGGATGGGCAAATCAGCGTGCTTTGTGATTCGGCAGAACAGGGAAGTCTAATGGAACAACTCGGTCACAGTTTCCCTCTCAATAAACGAGCATGGTTTTGGCTACTCTTAACACCATTTCCATAGTGTGGTAACGGTGCTGTGTAGCCAAGTTTGATATGTTAACATAGCTGTACTTTGATTTAAATGGTTACAAGGGTCATGTTATGAATCCTCAGAGTCCAAAGCAGACTTCTGCAGGGTCACACTTTAAACCCTGTGGGTTTTCTCTGATAAAGCTGATGTGGGTCATATTTGGGTCCCTAACACTGAATGTGATGACACCCTCCACAGCCGTGAGCATGAGGATCAGAGCATCACAGCTGCAACTTCGTTCGTTCCTTTTTTTCCACAGCAGAACAAAACTCTGCTGTGTTTACTGCTTCTGTTTAGTGCGTTTGTGTGGGTCGATGGGACCTGGTTTTATATAATCTGACTGAACTTGCTTGGTCGTTTGATGTCTGGATACCTTGAAATTCAAAGCTCCTGTGGAGGCTGGAATAAGATCTCCTGGTCATAAAAGCTTTCTTGTTTATGAAGGAGCTTTGAACTGTTAGGAAGCTGCTGGGAAGCAGCAAGATCAACCAAGCACCTTTCCTCTGCAGATGGAGAAACGGCAATCTGCAAATGGGGCCCCACCTCATTAATCTTGTTACTCCTTGGAGTCGTCCTCTCCCTGAGGATTATCTCTTCTTTCTTGCTCTTCTGTGCTTCTGAAGAAGCAGCTTGTGGTCTGACCAGTCAAATAATCTGTCCGTTCCTTGCAAGCTTTCCCACAAAGAGAGAGAGACCGCATCTGGAATATTGTGTCCAGTTCTGGGCCCCTCAGTTCAAGAAGGACAGGGAACTGCTGGAGAGAGTCCAGCGTAGGGCTACAAAGATGATTAAGGGAGTGGAGCATCTCCCTTATGAGGAGCGGCTGAGGGAGCTGGGTCTCTTTAGTTTGCAGAAGAGGAGACTGAGGGGAGACCTCATTCATGTTTATAAATATTTAAAGGGTGAGTGTCACGAGGATGGAGCCAGGCTCTTCTTGGTGACAAACAATGATAGGACAAGAGGTAATGGGCACAAGCTGGAACACAGGAGGTTCCACTTAAATTTGAGAAGAAACTTCTTCTCAGTGAGGGTGACAGAGCACTGGAACAGGCTGCCCAGAGAGGTTGTGGAGTCTCCTTCTCTGGAGAGATTCAAAACCCGCCTGGACGCCTTCCTGTGCAACCTCATCTAGGTGTTCCTGCTCCGGCAGGGGGATTGGACTAGATGATCTTTTGAGGTCCCTTCCAATCCCTAACGTTCTGTGATTCTGTGATTCTGTGAAAGGCCCCAGCTGTTACCTCATTGCATGGCTAAATATTACCCTTTGACTAGATATTTGGTCATGTCAGAGGTATCCAAATGCTGTGGCGTGATCCTTTCCTGCACATCCACTCCTATGACAGTGGAGGCGGGTGCTCTTAGTGCACGATGGGGCACATGTGAGCACAGCAGGAGCTGTGTGTGGATGTCCCACCAAAGGACCGGATGAGCTATCACACTGACTGTCAGTCTGTTCTGAGTCATGTTTTATGCATGGCTGTGGTACCAGAACATCTCCATCAGGGGTCCTGTGCCGTGCCCGATCGAGGAAACTGAGACCACTCATCTGAGGAAAAACTCATAGCCCATAAAAGCCTCCAAGCAAATATCTTCTGTCTGTTAACATGAGAAATACGTGCAAATTACATACTTTTTGTTGTTGTTTTTTTTCTTTTGTTGTTGTTTTCTGTTATTTTTGGGGTTTTTTTTGTTTCATTTTCGTTTTTTCAAGCTACCTTAAGCTAAACCCAGCTAGAAATCGGTCCTCGTTGCATCCTGGCATGAAGCTCTTTGAGCTCTACTTTAAGTTTCTGAGATTTTGACAGATTGGCAATCACTGTGAATCCATTCAGATTATTTTAGTAAGAGCTTGATCAAGGCAGTGTGAAAATGAATGTAAATGCAAATCTGGTACGTGATAACTACTCTTCATTTCTTTACAGCAGATTGCAAGAATAATGCTCTGGCATCAGGAAGCATTCAGGTAAACGGACACGGAGCACAGCCTTCAAAACCTCCCGTTAAAAGAGGGCCCGGACGCAAACCGAAGGTGGAGACCAATAACAGTGGCTGTGAAGTGGTGCACAAGAAAAGAGGCAGAAAACCAAAAAAGCTGCAAATGGTTGAACAGCAAAAGGTTGCGGAGCAGAACGCAATCCAGCCCCCGAGGGATGTTCCAGAAGAAGCCTCTGCTTCCACCGCATGCAATTCTCTTTCTGAAAACAATATGAAGGAAGACTTGATACAAAAAAAAGGCCGTGGGGGTAGAAAGCCAAAAAGAAAGCTCAAGACTCACCAGCCAGGCTCGGACCTTTTAGTTCCTGCGAATGTTAAAATGCAGACGAGGAGCAGGAGGAAAAAGATAGACGAGCCCATGGAGGAGGGGGCTGAAGAGCTTAAAGAGTCTGAACCTCACATGAGAACTAGAAACCAGGGTAGGAGGACAGCCTTTTACAACGAGGATGACTCTGAGGAGGAGCAAAGGCAGCTGTTGTTCGAAGACACCTCCTTAACTTTTGGAACATCCAGCAGAGGCCGAGTCCGAAAGTTGACTGAAAAAGCAAAAGCTAATTTAATCGGTTGGTAATTTTTACCAAGGGTTTTACTTCGGAATGCTATGAAGCAGGTACAGTTAAGGAACAGCAGAACAGACTTCTGCTTCCCTGCTGCTATTATGGGTTGGAAGAATGTGTTCTGATGTGGGGAGAGAAATTTAGCAAAAAATAAACTGAAAGAACATTCTTTGAAAGAAATATATATTTTAAACTTTTGCTATTTATTGCCCTCCAAATAGGTTATGCATTTCAACAGTCATTTTGTTCACAGTTGAGAATAATCGAAGCAATTTCTGACTGACGTACGGAGTTGAGAACTACTCTGCTGGAGTAGTGCGTTGTGTGTCTGCACAGGTAAAAAAAGGTGACAGGACTCTCAGTGCCACAAACTGAACACAGAATTCTATTTTTGACCGAGCAAGGTACACTTTGATTGTAAAGTCGAGTTGCCTAGGAAGGCAGATTTTGGCAAAAAGTGGCAGTAAATTCACTTACATTTCTATTCAGTACAAAAATACCAAACTTTGCTAGTCTAAAAATGCTTCATTTCAGTTGTGATGGAATGTTCAACTGCAACAGCAGCCTAGCACGGGCTGTTGGTTTATCCAAGTTCTGCCAAACATAGCAAAAATGTAATCACAAATATATATATAAATATATATATATCCACATTGGAAAAAGTTTGACTAATGTCTAATTTTTCAGACCTTGATTCTTGTATCAATCACTAAATCTCTGTTTATTGTGCCAAAGACTGAGAATCAGTGCAGTGGAAGAGCCTTTTTTTTTTCTTTGAGTGTCAGTACAAAATCCCATTTGCGGTGATAAAAGCTGTGTCTTGTTTTCAGTAGTAAGTTGTTAACATTGTTCGGAAATGTATCCTTTTTGGTACTTTTGGTAGGAAATAATGCACTGGTGGGGTCCTTTGACAGAGATGTTTTAGACAAAATCCGTGTCGTTGGTTAAAGGATTCAAGGAAATGACAGGACAGGTATGGAATTGCGATGTTTACTTTCTGATCCAGATCGATGGTTGTTTCTACAACTTGAGACATGCTTAAGAGGCTAAAATGACCTACAAAGAAGAGCGTGTGTGTATATATTAATATATACACGAACACGCGTACCTAGAAAATATTACCCAGGTATACATTTTTTTCAGGATTTTTTAGATAGCACTAGAATTGAAAAGAAATTTTAAAATGTCATACTTTATAGTTTAATTTTAAGGGGAAGATTGGTTATTTTCAATTAAGGTTAAAAGGCCAAATCACTTTTTATGCAATCATGTTTTATACAGTGGTCTCATTGCACATTGTGTTTTTCTGCACTTTTTATGGTATATCACGCTGACATGAGTCAATATACACCCTAAAGAAAAATTCCATTTAATGATTGTGCCTTGTATTCTATTATTTCTTGCATCCTTAGTAAAATTAAGTTGTCTATTGTAAATGATAACTATATGACTTAGGGGAATGTATTGTTATATGTACTGCTCTGGAAAAGAAAAGCAGTTATTTATTTGTTTATGGTACATTTAGTTATTTTATACCTTTACAAGCAAACTTTAATACCATTTTCTATCACTTAAAGTATTGTCCAGTTTTAAGGAAAAAAAAAACAACAAATACAGAAGTAGTCATATTTTCTGAGATCTGGTATGGTACAAAAATGTAACCAAAATCTTCTGGTTATACGTGGTTTTAGAAGTTTGGGTAGCGTGGAAGGTTTTCTTTGTGTGACCCTAAGGTAGCTGAAAAAATAAACCTGACGTGAAACCTCAATTCTGTACACCCTTACTTAATGACAATTCTTTCTTTTTCCCCCAAACGTCACCTGCAGTATCTGGAAGGGAGGGCATACAGAATTAAGACCTTAAATTTGCACAGATCCTGTCTATGTATTTCAGGCCTGATTCTTCAATCTTTATTTTCTGTTACAAAAGAAAAAGCTTAAATGTTTGAACAAAGAACATTGGTAACCACGAGGAGCAGAAATACGGTACTGTGGATAGCAAACCGGCATCCACCATACCTAGTGTTACGTAGTTCACGATGGATTTTGCTACCAAAAAATGACTGAAATGTTTTCCAGATCCTCTTTGAGTTGTTAATGGATACGATTGTGTGGAGCAGGGATCAGTTTGCATTTAATTTGTTGGTGTATTTATTTTTTTCTAACAAGAATTTCTTTATCATTCAGTTCAGATGGAGTCGCTACACACGTGGCAGGATCAGGAGCTGTGGTTGCGCAGCCTCACAGTTCAGAGCTCGTTAATTCCCCGTGTTAATTTTGTCCGATCTCGCTGATGAAGGCAATCATTTGCTAATGTGTAATTTCCTGATGTTATCTGCATTGTAATATACGAAATAGATTATATCTAAAATCCAACTTCTGTATTTACTCCAGTTGTAATAATGTTTTATATGGCATGTTTATGTATATATTTATATATCGAAAATACCTTGTATGTAAGTTTTGGAGACTGAAATAATACGTGTTCCCTTAACAGTAGGTAGAAGATTGTACATCTTAATTTTACGAGAATAGAAGGCCTTACCTGCAGAGAACGTGGGCACTGCAGTAATACCGGTGACTTTAGCCAGTCATTTTTAATCCATTTTAGACAGATTAATGGTTTTGCTTTTAAAAGAAATTGTGGATCATTTGGGTCACGTTTTTTTATAGAAGCAACACTAAAAAATTATTAGAAATTAATACCAGATTTATTTAAAAGTTATATTTTTATAATTTAATTTCACGAGGTTGCAAACTTTTATTTATGAGACTGGTCACCATCAGACTGTGTGTTTTGGTCTGGGAAAAAAGTGTTATTTGAGGCTGTTATGACACACAGTATCAACGCAGAAAAAGAGCTTTTGATGGAAAGTCTTAAGTTTTAAAATGTGAGCAATAAACTGTTGGTCAGTGTTCCGAAGTAATTTAAGAACGGTAGTTTTATGCATGTTTTATGATGCCATGTCAAGTACCTGACAACTGGTTCCGAAAACGGAGTATCAAGATCTCATGTGCTTGTTTCACATTGTAAATATTACACGTGTCCACAGTCATCCACATGCAACAACCGATCTGGCAGCAATTAACACAGTTTTCTTCATTAAATTAATTTCTGTTTGATGTGGATATGAGGATCCTGTTCTGGTATTTCTGCTCTACAGTGGGAAGCGTTAACACTGGTATTTACCGCCGAGTGGTACCTTGGTACGGGTGTTTTCTCTGCCTGTCGACGAGGAGACGACGACTGTTTCTGTGGTACCGGTGTGCTCTACGTGTTGAACAGAAATCCCTGTACCTGTGCGCTCTGAACAGCTCCTCACCCGTTCTGTTTCTCTTGTCAGTGTATATTTTCTGGGACCTGGACTGAAATGTCACCTCTGTAGTGTCGATGGTTGTCGATATTGAGCTCTGTGTCACTCGGCAGGGATACACCGTGACAGAACAGCGTCTTCCTCCGGTGCCGGGACTGCTGTGTATGGATCTGCAGGTGCTCATTTGTACCGTGTCTGCGTTGTACATGTGTTGATAGACTTGTAAGATTGAGTTGGTTGAGTTAAATATTACTATGGCTTAATATTTGTAAAGCTGTTAATTGATAAAGGACCCTGATGCGGCACGTAGGGTATACCAATATCTATAAGAAATAAATTGTAGTGTAGAGACAACTTATTCGCTGTAGTGCTGTACCGATACTGTTCAAGCACCAGTTCTGGTTCTGTGCCAGAGGCTCTTGTCTCCCCAAAAGACGACTCTGTGCAGCACAAGGAGTCTGTCCAGTCAGTGACTTCAATCTTTTGCTCATCTTTTGTTGGATCAAGGACTACAAGTAAATGTGTTAGCGTGTCATTTGAATTTCAGCACACGTTGAGTGGTTGACTGGTTCTGTGAAAGCAACAGGCTTAACCGGATGGGACCCTTTCGCCCCGTGCTCACACAGCAGATGAGGGCTTGCGTTGTTAAGCTCATTTTCACCAACATTTGCATTTAATTTGAAGCATGTGAATCTTGCTGAGGTACTTTTAACATGTACTGCTGGTCAATCGAGATACAGCCGTACCACGATGATGACATTATGGCCTGAGTCCTTACCTTACTCCCATTGTCCATGGTTGTTTTTCAAAGGTTTTTCTTTTTGCTGCTTATTTTTTGTCAAACACTCAACTGTTGTTAATAATTTAAATACAGCTCCAACAGTGCTGTCATACAGAAGGTGAAGGGCTCGAAAACCTCACCTAGAAACGGCAGAAGCTCATTTTCTGTTTACTACCTAATGAAGACAAATTAACTGTAAAATAACTGTAGTTTCTCTTATCCCTCAAGTTCTTGTACCAGGTTGGTTTCCAAGGGGACCTTAGATATTCAGCTGATAAAAGGGCTGTTAGTTTTCTGCTGTAAATTCTTGTATATTTGTGTTTGTTCATAGGCAGAGAAAAGTATGTGGACTTTCCTAAAATTGGCCAAATTGGACAATGTGTTTCTGATAACAGACCTGGTACTGGCAGCTGCCGTAGCCTCCCGGTTGTGGATCGGGAGTGCAGCGTTCTGCTGTGTCTGGGGGGATAACTTGTAGCTTTTAAAGCAGAGCCCACCTCGAGGTGCTCTTGCCTTTGTGCTGATTTTAATGTGGGAATTCACCGCGTCCTTTAACTCTGTTAGAGGCAGAAAGGCCGACAAAGCTGGATTAAGACACCTCAGCAATTGCGGAAAAAGGCAATAAACGCTTTTTTAAAAATTTATTTTCTCCCCCAAGGTTGTAACAGCCTCAGGGCGCTCTGGAGAGAAACCTTCTATGCTGCAATACAATAATGGTGAATAAATTTAGCTTGGAGGAGGTAGGTAGTGAGACAAGTAGTCATTTGGATCCTTTTTAATGCAGATAAATACATCAGGAAATTCACTTCAAATAACGCAAACGATACATTTTAGGGAGGGACGGTAGTGCTACGCTATTAATTTCTACCCTGAAAGAACAAAGCAAGAGGTCATACAGGCTAGGAGTAGAAAGAAATGGA